ACACACACACACACACACACACACTGCTGCCCCATACTATAGAGGACCCTGTGATCACAGAACTTGAAGACTTTTTCCCCAAGATGTGTGACAGAAAGCCCTGATTTTTTCTTAGTTACCCCCACCCCTCGAAGCGGCTGAGAGAGGAGGTCCTAAGTACTGGGTATGGGTGAGACCCTTTTGCCGATACATGCACAGCTGTGCACCAGCATGTGGAGATGTCAGGATAATTTAGCAGGTGGCCTCGTTACTCCTAGATCTGTCACCATGGTAACGTGTTTTTTTCTTTAAAAAATGTACAGTGCCAAGAGGAGGAAGATGGCTGACAAAATTCTCCCTCAGAGGGTGAGTCACTTTCATTTCCTATTCACTTCACAGTCCGCTCAGCACCTTTGTTTATTCAGATGGATTTTAACAAATACTTTCACTTTTTGTTTAAAGATATCTAATTAAAAAGTAAGTAGCCTGCTGGGTGAAAGTCTAGAGAGTGAGGCCAATGCTGGGGCTGGGAGTGTGGAGCAGAGCTCGGCCTGTGTCCTCCTTGTGCAAAGGGTGAGCCCTGCTGACACTGCTGCATGCAGGGAGGGCCACGGGGCTGGGCTGCAAAGGACACAATTAGGCACTAGTGCCCTCTGGATTTCGAAGGGGTTTTAAATCAATGTTTCTGTGGGTAGCCAAAAGCAGGTTCAGAGTTCAACACCTGCCTGCAGGAGATGGGCTCCTCCTTACATTACAGTGGCCCAGCAGTTCATTCAGCTCCTCATTTTCAACCGTATTCTCTTGCAAGTAAATTGGCTTAATCAGTGTCAACAACAGGGCTAAAAGGGTCTAGATTGTCCAGAGAATTAACTCGTGTGTCCCTGAGAATTAGCTGCCTTTGTGTGGCCCTCTACATCCGACTGACTTCCTCCCCACTGCTTAAACTCTCTAACTTTCTTTTGCAAGCCCTTGAACTCCTCCTCTCTGCTGGCATCCTCTTACTTTTAAGCTAGCATGCAAACCCCATAACAAGTGCCCTGACCTGAATTGCCCCACCTTCCCATGGAGCAAAACCCTCACATCACCTCAGTCCTGATTGTCCTCCCAATACCCTCCTGTTCACCCCTCCCCCAACAACCATCTGGTCCCAAAAGACAAACTGTAGCCTTCACGACAAGCAACTTTATATCAATCACTTGATACTAGCCTCTCTTCTACTGCCATTCCTCACTCCAGATGCCAACGCCCCTTTGATAGGCACTCAGATACCTTCCACAACTCATCAGTCAGCCTCCCTTCCCTTTGCTAGCATTTATTCCCAGCTTCCAAGCTCTTCCTTTATCCCCCATAAGTACATGGGTCCAACCATTCCAACACATTAATCCTCTCTTGGCCCCTGTGAGATGCAGGTGTCTTGTCCCACAACTGTGAACCCTTTCTCTGCAGCCTCCCTCTCTGAAAGACCCAGGTCTAATCTTCTAGTCCTTAGAACATACCCAGTTTCCAGGTGTTGCTGCTTAGGAATTGGGTTGCAATTAAACCCAGGAACTTCATGATACTCACATTCTCCTAAATTTTTCATTTTAGAGCTGTATCTCTGCTCCACACAGAGCCTGTCCTTTCCCAGAATGGGAATTCAGGCTCTATATTCTTTCAGTTTTATGTCTCTTTCGCACACTGGTCCCCTGTGGGCCCCACCCATCTTAGACTAATAGATCATAAAGCCAGAAGGGACCATTGTAGTTATCTAGTCCTGGCCATAGAATTTTCCTGAATTAATTCCCATTTGAATTACAACAGATCTTTTAGAAATAACATCCAACCTTGATTTAAAAATGTCCAGTGGGAGAAAATCCACCACACCCCTTAGTAAATTGTTCCAGTGGTTAATTACCCTCACTGTTAAAAACTTGTTTTATTTCTAGTCTGAATTTGTGTAGCTTCAATTTCTAGCCTTTTGCTCTTGTTATACCTTTGTCTGCTAAACTGAAGAGCCTTTCATTATCAAATGTCTGTTTCCTATGTAGGTACTTGTAGACTGTGATCAAGTCACCCCTTCACCTTCTCTTCGATAAACTAAACAGATTGAGCTCCTTGAATCTTTCACTATAAGGCAGATTTTCCAATCCTTTCATCATTCTAATGGCTCTTCTCTGAACCCACTCCAATTTATCAACATCTTCCTGGACCGCAGAACTGGACACAGTATTCTAGAAGCAATTGCACCACTGCCAAATACAAAGATCTTTGAGAGAGACCCTTCTACCTTATGTGGTGAGAATGGAAGTTATTCCCATGTTTGTTAAAGGCCGCAGTTTTCGCCCCTTCCCAAAACAAAAGCGCATAGCTCTTGCAAATGGAACTGACTCCACTGGCAGCAAAAGACATGTCTTTATTCAATTACTGGTAACTCAGTGATGTTTAAGGCCTTTTCTACACTAGGGAATTTTGCCCAAAAGCTGCACTGGTGGTAGCACCAAAGGGAGCCTTAGTGTATACAAAGTGTGGCTTTCACTGTTTTTAATCACTGTCAGCTAAATCACTGATCTAGTGATAAAAGTCCTGGAAGTTGCCAGAGTCTCATCTACAGTAGGTTTTCCACCAGTGCAGTTGGGCTGGTGATAGCACCAATGGGGTGTAATCTCAAACTAACTGTGTCATTTTATCTTTCCCAGATGTCCTCTCTCCTCCTCCCTATAACTCCTTGCTGTGGTGAATAGGATAAATGTCACCTCTTCCATTAACTGGAAAATCTCTAGCTGTGGTTATTGGGAGCATGCACAATTCATGCTTCCAAGTCTCATGAGAGCTTTCTATTCAATCAGTGGCTGGATATAGACCCCACCCCCAGACCACACTCCCCCATGTACCTATAGTATGTGATAAATATTTTTCAGTCATTCCTCAGCCTTTTTGTTGCCTTTCTCCTAGTGCTTCCTGGAGGTTGAGGGAAAGTCTCAAAACAAATTGTACTCCCTCTTAAAAACTATCTTGTTTTCTGAATAAGGAGTGGGGAAAAGTAGTGAGAATGAGTGGTTTCCTCAGTGTAGGCTGCTGGTTCCAGCAGTGGCCTTGGCAGAGAGGCTGGAGAATGGGCAAACAGATCACACCCACCTGGACACACACATGCTCTGATTAAGCCTGCACTGCAGCCAGTCACTGCTGGAACTTGGTGCTGCTCTTTAATTGTACACAGCCAGCTCAGCCTAGTGTGACACACAGGCAGACATGTTGCAAAATTACAAGGCTGAGAGTTTAGTGGGTTATATTCACCAACATTAACTTCAAATCTGTTCCTTCCTCTTCCCCCACTCTTTCCCTCACATCACCTCCACCTCATGGTCTTTTTCAAACCTTATACCCATCCCACTTGCTCCCATGCCCTCCTTGTCTTCTCCTGTTCTCTCTGAATGCCAGTTCCATCTCAAAAAAGATCACAGCCATTCATCACCGCTTCATCCTCTGTTCCCTATGGTCTCTTGGCTCTCAAGACCTGAATCCCCCATCTGACAACAGCCTCTGTAGCCTCTCTCTCTTATGGTGGCCACTTCTCTCAAAGTCCCTTCCTTGAATTGTCCCAAAAGGAACATGGTGGGTGTCATGCTCCCCTCCTCTGCCTCCAGCCCTTCATGCCTTCTCCCCTGAGCAGCACTCATCTGTCTTCTCCCCTTCCCCACCCACCCAGTTCCTCCCACATCCACCTTCTTCTCTGACTCTGATTCCTGTATCTCCATCTTCTTGTCATCACAGTTTGCCACATCCATCCATGTTGACTTCATATTCCATATTGACAACCCATCAGATACATTAGGCACCTGTCTCCTCTCTTTTACCTTGACTTGCTCACCATAATCACCACTCACTTGACTTGCTCTTCACCAAGCACAGCCTTCTGATCTCTTTATCACAGAGTTTGTCCTCTACAACCACTGGCTCATCTCTTTCAATATCGTCATCTCCCCACTCCTTCTGGGACTTCTAGTCCCATCAGTGTCAATGACTTTTCTCCTTCCCTTGTTCTACTGACTCCAATCCATGATTCCCTCCAGTTTGCACTAGCCACCACTCTTGACTTGGTTGCCTCACTCGTATGCCACAAGGTCTGTCCTGGCAACCCCTGTCCCTGGCTCTTCCCCATCATCTACTTCCTCAGCTCCTGCTGCCATATTGCTGAGTTTCTCAGATGGAAGTCCCATGGATCATGCTGACTTCCTCTGCTACACAATTGTTCTCTCCTCCTTCAGATCTCCTATCTTCCTGGCCAAACTCTCCTTCTCCATACTGATGGACTGTCATACTCTCAATCCTTTTTGCCACTTTTGACTCCCTCTTAAAGCCCTTCTCCTTGCTGTCCATGCAGAATCTTGCCAATTTCTGCAAAGAAAAAATCAACAAAACCTCAGTCTATTTAGTTTAACTAAGAGAAGGTTAAGACTTGACTTTATCACAGTCTATAAATTCTAAATGAGGAGACGATTTTTGATAGTAGAGTGCTCTCTGATCCAAGAGACAAAAACAGAATGAGAGCCACTGGATGGAAGCTAAAGCTAGACAGATTCAGACTAAAAATAAGACATACATTTTTTATCAGTGAGAACTAGCATGGAAAAACTGACCTATGGATAAGGTGGATTCTCAGTTATTTGGAATCTGAAAATCGTACCTGGGCATCTCTTTCTGACAGACGCACTCTAGCTCAACTGGAAGTGATGGACTGGATAAAGGAATCACTGGATGAAATTATCAGGCCTGTGTTATGCACGAGGTCAGGCGAAATAATCATAATGGTTCCTACAGGCCCTTCTGAATCTGTGAATCCCGATGTGACCTCTCCCCTCCCCATCAGACTCTCTTCTTCCCCCTCTTGCCTGTCACAGACTCTGAGACTATTTCCCTGCTCTCCTCCTCTAACCCCTCCACCTGCCTCAGTAACCCCCATTCCCTCCCATTTCTTGACTTTTCTCATCCTGCCCTCACCTCCCACTTTGTTCAGGTTCCTCTCCTCAAAGTACAAATACAGTAGAACATCAGAGTTATGACCACCTTGGGAATGGTGACTATGTTCATAACTCTGAACAAAATGTTATGGGTTGTCCTTTCAAAAGTTTACAACAGAACATTGACTTAATACAGCTTTGAAACTTTACTATGCAGAAGAAAATTGCTGCTTTTAACCATCTTAATTTAAATGAAACAAGCACAGAAACAGTTTCCTTACCTTGTCAAATCTTTTTTTTAAACATTCCCTTTATTTTTTAGTAGTTTATGTTTAACACAGTACTGTACTGTATTTGCTTTTTTTTTTCTTTGCTGCTTGCCTGATTGTGAACTTCTGTTTCCAAATGAGTTGCATGGTTGACTGGTCA